TTCTGATCTGGCAGCTCAATGATGAAGTGTGGATCTCCATCAACTGCAAGAGACAAACTCATGAGTAACATGTAAGATATCTTTCTTTACTGTAAATTTTTTCTTTAAAATGTACAAAAAATGACATCGCTTCTCACCAAAATATGAAGGTGATATCTTGAATTGTAGTCTTTGGATTGGGTGAGCACTCCTAGTCAATTGAGGTGGAGCGTAGAAGGCACTTATATCTTCAAGTAGTTGTGAGATAGAGATATAGAGTGCTTATTCCAGATATTTTGTAACACAAGTAAGATAAGCTACTTCTTAATGTTCACAATGATGGTGTACTAGTCAAATTCCTCTTACCAAGTTCTGTTGTGTCTTCTCGGTGCTCTGTGAATCAAAAGAACACCACCCAGTGTTAATGTGTCACATTAGCACCTCTGCAATAAATTGTTGCTTCAGTCAGTCACATTTTTGGGCCATCAGCATTGTAATTTTAATATTCAAACCCAAAGAACTCATAATTTCAATATTGCCTTTTCCATCGAATTGCACATCAATTGTATTTTGATTGGCTTCTACAAAATACAATGGAAGTGGAGTTCAACATCTGGGAGTTGGAGATGGTTTTTATCAGTCCACAAGGAAACAATGGTAGGGTTACAAGGTACTGTGGCTGATTGTTGGTTGTAGGAAGAACTAGTTTCTGAACTTGTTGAAGTTGATGACCCTAGTAGAAAAACCTATGCCATACTTTATTTAAAATTCATTTATTTCATACTAAGTATACAGTACTTCAATCCATTACCATATTTATTGACTTTAATGATATAAAATTATAATTAAGTACTTCTTAAGTATTCAGAAAGTATTTCTTTATTGCACAATTCACATTTCTTAATATTATGCCTAAAAATATGTTTTAATGCCACTCTTAATAAGGATATGATCGCTGTATAATATCTGTCTTGAAATGCAAGATATTTAAAATGTGTACCTAAAGTATACTTGGAATAGTTCCGCTTTAGCACAATCAAATATACTTAAGTATATCTTATTTGAAACTCAGCACTACTTCCACACAATGAAAGTACATAAAGCACAATATTAATTGTTTCAATTTAGAAGATTTTAAGTATACCAGTTTAATATACCAAAAGTACAATTGCAGGGTATTTTTATTAGGCACATGTAAATTAATTTTTAATATGCTTATCACTAAATACATTTATTTCAGTATATATATATATATATTTATTCATTTTTTAATTTTTTTTCACTAGGGTGAGATTTGTGGAGGGTAATCATCTGGAAATGATTGTGGCATACATTTTTGATTTACATACCTGTAAACTGCATATACCAGTCAAAAGTTTAGAACAGCTCCATTTTCTGAATTAGAAAAAGAGGCTTGCCTATAGGACATGAAGCACCGTCAATGGACTACTGCACTGGAAAAATGTCTTAGAGACTTAAAAAAAACAAAAAGACAAACTCTTGTTGTTTATGTGTTGTATGCTTTTTTTTTCAAATTACCCTGAGACATTAAACGGCATAATTCAAATCCAAGGCTAAACATTTCCCTGCATGGATTTTGCATTAGATTCAAGTTTGTTACACTTTGAACACACCAATAAACCTGCTTAGTTAGGAAGTGACCTCTAACTTTTGCTTCATGAATCACTACATTATTGATAATGGACCTCTGCTGTTGTTAAGTAAATTATGACAGACTTTTCATTTTTAGGGGTACAGTCTCTTTAAAGTTAAAAAAAACTACAAGTACCTTCAGTCAGCTTGTCAGCAATGAGCGTTTCATCTTCAGTCTCTGGTTTGGTGACCACCATGGAGGTGAGAGGTGTGACAAAGTTATACCTTAGAGAAAGGTCTAGAGCTTCAGCTGTGACGTTCTCCTCGTCCTCTGGGGAGCATTTCTCTCTGTTAACAAATTTTATTGGACATTGTATTATTTCAGTCATTCTCAGGTAATAGCTGAATTATTGGAGCGCATGTTTGACCTTTTATCCAAGAGCTGCTGGATGGTCAGATATGCCCACAGTCGCTCTGTGAAATCCCCAAAGATGTACTCCTGATCAGGAAACACACTGTCCCACTCTTCAGCAATCGCTAGACCCTCGACCACAAACTGGTCTTCCAACTGAAATCAGGTGTATGGCACTAATGAAACGGTACATTCAAACGGATTCTAATTCAGTAACTAATAGTTTGCTTCCCGTACCCCGTGTGCTGATACTTCAGTCTGAAAGGTGTTGGTCTCAAGTTCTTGTAGACGTCCGGCTACCACAATCTCAGAGCCCTTGAAGAATTGCCTAAAGTGACTTTGTGTCAAGTCAGTTACAGCATTGCCGGGATAATTGAGATTCACCTCTAAGAGAAGTGGGGTAGCCACCTCATCATAAAAACCCTGTAGAGATAGAAAATCATTTAGGACCTGGATGTAGGTTACATTTATTAAATGAACAGTATATTTTATTGTCGGAGGATACGTTTGCCAGCTCTACCTGTAGTTGAAGGGCAGCATCTGAGGCCTTATAGACTCTTCGAGCGAGTCCATCATTCTGCTTGGCCA